CCCTTCACCCCGTCTCCTAGGATGACACTGCTTGTGCCATTTCCTCAGTACATTCTGGTCTTGCTCTGTGTGAAGGCCTAGGACTGGGATCCCCTGAGGCAGTTCCTCCTGACAGGTTTTTCCACCTAACTTAAGGAGAAACTGGGGCTTTGGGGTCAGGGGGCGGGCACCAGCTCAGAACAGGGCTGGAGAGTGCGCCCTTGTTGGGGTGTGTGTGCGCATGCACTGACACCTCCATCCATCCCCTGGCAGCCCTGCGTAAGCCCCTTAACGCCCACCAGCCCATACCTGGGCCCAGAGCCTGCAATAGGACCCAGCTGTGACCCAGACCTCCCACAGAGACCCCCAAACTGGCTTGCCTGGGGCCCGTCCCGGGCCCCCAAAGGAATGCAAGTCCCAGCTTCCTGGTACAACTCTGCCCTTGGGTTGGTATGGTCGTGCCCCTGTGGTTTACAGCTTAGCTGCCAAGAACGGAGGCCAATTAAAGGTAAATATGTCCCAGTTCCCCCAGCAGAGAGGTTCAGGCTGAAGTGGGTCTGTTCAGGCCCTGTGGGTCTGTCTGTGACAGCGGCCGACCCTGTGAGGGAGGGGGCTGAGTGAGGCGGGAGGTCTCTGGGGGACAGATCAACACTCTGCCACCTGTGCTCAGCACTGCGCTAAGGAGGCTCAGGACCCCGCCATAACTAGTGTTCATCCTGAAGGGGGTGCTTTTTCGCCATTTTCCATGGAGCTTGGTAGGCTCATTAGCTTACTCCAAATCACAGGCTGGTGACCCCCGAGCCCAGCTCTTCCCGCTTCCCCTGCCGCAGCCCTGGGCCAGGAGCCCCTTCTGCCACGTCCCCAGCTATTCCGCTCTGGCCGTCAGCACCTACAGACCCACTCTCTCACTTGACTTAGGAGGCCTTGGAGCTAGAGGCCAGAGGCCTGGCTGCACCCCCAGTCCCAGGCTGGGACTGCCCAGATATTTGTCCCCTGTTCGTGAAAGCCTCTGTTGTCACAGCTGAAACCCTCCCCTGTGCCCCAGAGGCCCCTGGAATGTGGCTGTGAGGCGGGGTCTGGGCCCCATACAGGTGGGGCTGGTGACTGGGTCTCAGGTCTGGGTGTCAGGAATAAAGCTTTCCTTTGTGTGCAGGTGCGCGTGCGTGCGTGCGTGCGTGCGTGCGTGTGTGTGTGGACACTTTTCTGTCTCAGTCTGGGAGCTGAAACTAGGGGTACTGTGTTGACAGAAGCAGCTGGGATAGAGGAAAGGGAGCGAGAGGAAGGGGGAGGGGATTTGGGGGGCAGCCCTGCTGGTCATCTCGACCACTTCAGTTTGCAAGCATTTCCGGTCCGTCATCTTGCTCCATCCCCGTGAGTCAGACTGGGCCAGAGTTATTTCCATTTTTCCAATTGGTAGACAGGCTCAGAGAGAGGAGGCTTGATTACTCAACGCCAGGTAACTAATAAATGAGAAATGAGGAATTCTCCAGGCCCCAGGGCACGCCCTCTCTCTGACCCTGGCATCTCCCTGGGGAACAGAGGAGTGAGGGAGGATTCTAACGTCTATGGAGGTCCCCACTCCCCCTGTGACATTGAATGCTCACTGTGGCCCTGTAGCTGGGGCCAGTGTTAATGGGGTCAGTGTTTTGTTTTGTTGTTTTTTTTTTTTAGTGTGGTAAAATACACATAACATAAACGTTACCATCTTACGCATTTCTCGGTGCACAGTTCTGTGGCAGTTCTGTGCACTCATTGTTGTGCAAGCATCATCACCCTCCATTCTCATAACTCTTTCCATTTATCCCCATTAAACCATAACTCCTCATTCTCTCTCCCCACCCCTGGCAACGACCATTACACTTTCTGTCCCTATGACTTTGACTCTTCTTAGTATCTCATGTAAGTGGGAAAATGGCCCAATTTTAAGTCAGGAACCTGGCTCGGAGACGTTGAGTTACACCCAGAGGTGGAGTCCAGCTCAGGCTCTTTCCACTGGGCTGCATCGTCCCATCCCTAGGAGGGAAGGCCGGCTCTGGGACAGCCTGTCTGCCTGCAGTGGGCAAAGGACAGAAGCTGGCACAGCATCCCGGGCGGGCTGCCTGGGGCAGGGCCCAGGTCTGCAGTCTGGGCTGGAGCCAAACGGAGCTTGATCTCCACCCTTGCCCAGCCATCACCTTCTGGTGCTAGCGAGTAGGCTCCGGCCACCCAGACCCTGAGCTCATAGGAACTGTTTGGACCGAAACCAGGGATTTGTGACCGGGGCAGCTGCTGCCTGGCCTGGGCCTGAGAGTGTAGGGGAAG